CCCCCCCCCACCCCCGGGAACAGAGGCTGCCTGAGTCTGGCAGGGAAGGTGGAGGAGAGGCGTTCCAGGCAGGGGGAACGTTGTGTGCAAAGGCCAGGAAGCACAACAGACATGACAGAGCTGACGAACCAGAAACGGTTTGTTGTCCTGGACGCCAGGAGGAGTCGGCCCGGTCCTCTGACCAGCCAGCCTCACCTGTGCCTCGCTGGGCACCCACCTCGCCCACAGCTCAGCGAGTCAAGGGAGGAAGGAATGAGTGAACCAGTGAACGAGTCTTCTGGGCCCCCCACCTTTGGGGACAGAAAGCCTCCATCTGAGGCCCAACGCCCCAGGCCCTGTGGAAAGTGGGGGGCAGATATTTGGGGTCCGTGCCCCTTTCACCCACCACACAGAGGAGCTGCCCAGAAGGCCCGTCTCCCTGCCGGTCCGAAGTCACTGCTCTGCCAGGACCAAGCTGGCAGATGCCTCCCAAGCCCCGGGGGGGGGGTAAAGGGAGGGGCTGGGCAGCAGGCCCAGCCTTTGAGCCCTCAGGAGCCCCACACCCAGCACAGGACCCTGTTCTCTCCAGTCCTCGGCACAAGACAGCGCGATCTGGGCGGAGGCGTCGATGCCCACTGGCACGGACTGTGATTACAGCCTCTCTGAGGTAGCAGGCATCACGGAGACCCCCGAGTCCAGCACAGGGAAACCGAGGCCCAGAGTGGGCAAGGGCCACTGAGGCTGCTCATCCAGTCAGGTGCAGAGCCAGGACGAGAATGGCGGGAGGGGTGCACCCAGGACCCTGGCCCAGGGCTCCTCCCTACGCCCCCGCCCGCGTGGGGGGTGTAAGCCTGCACGCCTGCTGCTGTTTCCACCAGACCAATTCATGTGTGATAATAAACCAGGGAACATTCTGGACACATGCTGCCCTCTCCCGATGCGTCAAAGGGGGTGTGGGGGGATGGGCAGCAGGAGGGGGCCCACGGCATCAATCAGCAGTGAGAGACGCCCTTTAATTTAGGGCCGAGCGCCCCAGCTGGACGAGCAGATAAGCTGGTGGGGGGGTAGGAGCGCTGCCACCGCCCAGGAGTTATGGCTGCAAAGGGGGCTTTACGGAGACAAAGAGAGCCCACGCCCCCTCCCTGCACGGCTGGACCATGCCCGCAAGAGCCCGCGGGGCCCAAGTCCTTCTTCCCCCAGCAGAGCCGAGGGAGGAGGGCGGGGTGGTATCCACGTAGCATGAGGGGCACTGTGACAGTGCCACCTCGCCACGCAGACCTCTGACAGTCCCCCCGCACGGGAGGGCCCTGGGCTCTGCTGTCCCCGCAGCTGGTGGCAGGGTCACCATCACACGCCCCTCTTGACCCCCAAGCCCTGCCTGTAATGGCCTCACAGAGGGAAGTAAAAACACAAGGGAAAGTCCAGGCTGGGCTGGGGGGTCGTCCTCCAGCTCCCCAACAGGAGGGGGGGGTAGCCCCTGACAGCCCAGGCGTCATCGGCCCCCCCGCCCCCCCACCCCCCCGGCAGTCCTGCCTGCCACATCCTGGGCAGAACCTGGTGTTTCTCAACACCGGCTGCCGGAACGGGCCCGGGGCAGGTGGGGGCAGAGGCTCTCACGCTCTGCATGGGCACCCTGGCCAGCGGGAAACAATCTTGGCGGGGTCATGGGCCTGGGGCGCCGGGGTGGCCTCTGCCCTGCGCCCACCAGGCTTCCAGGCCGGGCCTGCCTCAGCGTGCTCCGTGCCCCGAGGCCTGCCTGGGCCTGGTGCAGCACAGACAGAGCCCTGCCGTCCCGGGTGAAGTCCTCCAGGCCTGCCAACAGGGTGCGTCCCCGGAAGTCCCCCTCCTGAGCCCCAGATGAAGTGTGACTCAGTCCCCAGCAGGGAGCCGGGACTGCAGAGCGGGCGGCCCACTCCTGGTGCCCATGCCTTCCTTCCCCAGCTGGCCAGCACGGGGGCAGGAGGGGCTGAGCACCGCCACCCACCGTGGCCAGGAAGCTGATCTGTCCTCCAGCACCAGTATGCGTGCCACCTCCTCCGGGGAGCCCTCCTGACCGCTCAGTGAGCAAGCGGCCCCCCGCCTGGCTCCCCGCGCCCTGGAAGTGCCGCACGTACCTCACATCTGCTCACGTGTTCTGTCTCGTGACCCCTGGAGGGTGCTCGGGGAAGTGGAGGGTGGGCGGGGGGAGAGGGTGCAGGGTAAGACCACCAGAATGGGAGTCAGGGCTTGGCTGAGCCAACACCTCCCTCTGCGGGCCTCTCCACCTCGGTTTCCTCCCCTGTGGCCCCCTGCTGCCCGGGAAGAGAACCCCGGGGGACAGCCAGGTCGTGGCCATCGCCATGCTGGGATCCCCACTCTGTGTGTCCTGTTGGGATCCAGAGGCACTGGCGGCTTCCAGAGTTACGTGACCAGCCTGCCCATCCCAGGAAGGACCCGCTCCCACCATCTGCTCTCCACAGACAGCCCAGCAGCAGCCAGAGCCCCTCCCCACTCCGAGCCTTCATCATCAGCCTTCCCAAAAAGACTTCCGCCCCTATAGCCCCTACCCGGCCTGGGCCCGGTGCTCCTGAGGCCCTGCCTGTGCTGGAACATTCCAGGAAGCCCCTGTCCCTAGGAAGTCAAGGCTCTGGCCACCCAGAGTCCAATTCCTTCCCTGGTCTCGATCTGCTCACCCTCCTGCGGGCGTGGAGACCGCTGCACCAGCAGACCCCAGGGCTCTCCTCATGCCAGCCTCCTGGAACCGCCCCTCAGGCCCCGGCGGAGCCCATGTGGGCGAGGAGGCAGCGCTGCCCTCCCAAGGGCCTGCAGTCAGGCAGTCTAACCAGAAGAGCCACCCGGTCCTGCTGGTGCTGGGTCCCCTGCCTCTCAGGCTTCTAAGCCCCAAAGTCCCCCCCCCCCCCGGGGGGGGGGGTGGGCCGGGCCCCTCCGGCCCCCGGCCCCCACCACGGGGTCTCTAGGACAGGACCCCACAGCTGGTGGGGCGGGGACAGGTGCCCGGGCCCCCCCCCCCCAGCTCAGTCAGGAGGAGACACAGGGCAGGCCCCCAAGCTGTGCCCACCGTGCTGTGCCCACCATGGACCCGGAGTGGGGACTCCTGGGGACACAGCAGGAGGGCAGACATCCTGGGTGGAGACAGGGCAGCCCTGGGGGGTGACTCCCTCTGGGTGAGTGAGGCCAGCCGCCCTTGCTGAGAACAAGGTCAGAGACAGCTCTATGCTCAGGGAGAGGCGAGAGTGGGTCAGGGGCTCCCTAGGGGCTGGGCTGCCTGCCAGGCTCAGGAGGCAGAGGACTCCCCTGGAAGTTCCAGGGACGAGGTCACAGCACAGGAACCTCGTCCCGGGGGACCCAGGTGCACGCCAGGGTCACAGACAGACTCCTGGACTCAGGGTCACAGGTCCCCCAAGCCTGCTCCTCCTCTGGTTCAGCCCCCGGCTCCGAGCTGGGGCTCCCCGCCGGCGCTCCCCCCTTGGTGGCCCACGCAGGCCCCCTCTCTGAGCGGCCCCCGACTTTGCAGCCCAGGGCAGCAGGGGGACTCTCTGGGGCCCCAGACACGGTTTCCCGCCCAGCTCCAGGCATGAAACCCCGGGCGGGAGCCCTCACGGGATGGCCCTGCTCGCCGCCCAGCTTACGTATGACGTCAGCGCCCACAACGGCCAGAGGGGGCAGGTTGGGGGAGCAGAAGGCCGCAAACCTGCGCGAGTCCACCTTGGTCACTCGGTTGCCCCGGAACAGCTGATTCTGGAAGAACAGGCAGACCTGTGGGGGAGGCGAGAGGCAGCGGCTCAGCGCTGGGGAGCCCCAGGGCCCTCCGGCCTCCCCCCTGCCATCAGCGGAGCACCCACCGAGGACAGGTTGCAGATGTCGCTTGCGGCTACTGCCCTCTCTGCCGCCCATCCCTCAGGGCCTGGGGAGAGCCAGGCAGGGAGCTGGCCACTCGAGGGCCCTGCCGCCCCTTACTTCCCACCTGCCCTCTGCCCCCATCCCTGCTTCTCAGGGAGTCCCTGGTGAACTCGGCCCACCCCTCACCACAGTGTCCGCGCTCCGGAGCTCAGGGGCTGGGGGGGGGTCTCGTTCTGCCCCCCGCCCCAGCTGCTCTAGGGCTGTCCTCCTGGGGGAGGGAGGGAGGCACAGCAGTAGGGAGACAATGTGAACCGTGCTTCGGTGAAGCGCCCTCCCCCTGGCACAGGGTCCCCTGCCGTGCTAGGGGGTCTCGTAAGGTCTCCCCGTGCTGCCGTGTGGACAAAGAATGCTGAGCAGGGCAAGCCAGGTCCACAGCTATACTGTGTGCAACCTCCTTTTACAGAAACTTACACGTAAACACACATAACGTGAACACGTGTAACACGTAACCCGGAAGAGAACACAGCACGCTGTTAACAGCAGCGTCTCTGGGAAGTCAGACATGGGTGGCTTTGTTCCCTTCTGCTTTATTTTCCGGGTTTTTCCACGGTGACGGTGTATGCCACTTGTAAGGCAAAAGACACATCTTCAAACCCTGGCTGACGGCTCACCTGCATGTCCCACCTGAGTGCCAACCACAGCCCCCGCCTGCGCCACGCAGGCCACGCCCCCTGCAGCCCACGCCAGGGAGGGAAGGGTACCTCGGGGATCACGTACTGGCCGGCCATGAGCAGGGCCCCCAGCAGGTTCTCACGGCCATCATTCCATAGGGCGTGGATGGGCACCTGGGGGGAGGCCGGAGATGGGCTGAGACTCACGCAATACCAGAGGGAAGAATGAGGGGGGGGGGGGGACAAAGAAAGGGCAGCTGGACGAGGCGGACAGCAGGCCATGGATCGCCCCACCCACCCACAGGACCCAGGGCACTGACCAGCCTGGCCGGCCAGAACAGACAGGACAGGCGCTGCCCTGGGGAGCTGCAGAACTAAGCAAGAGGCCCAGGGTGCGGCCTGGGTTCCCCACAGTGCCAGCTCCCCCGGTGGCCTCAGGAAGGCCCTCGTGCTCTCCGGTCAGCCCGGGACATTACCTGGGCACCCGTTAGGATGACGGTTTTCTGCAGGTTCTCCAGCACGAAGGACAGCACGGAGGCCGCGAAGGCCATGGTGTCAGTGCCGTGGATGACCACGAACCCATGGTACCGCCCATAGTGTCTCTGTGGGGGTGCAGCAAGCTTAGGCCGGACTCCTCCCAGGGACAGGCCCCCTCCTGGGGACAGGCCTCCTCCCGGGGACAGGCAGCTAGCTGGTCTCCCACCCCCTCAGGGAAAAAAAAAGAAACGATCCCAAATGCAGAGGGAGGGAATCAGGGAGGCACAGGTGGGATCCTGGTCACTTTTGGCCCAGAGGACACTCTCTGGGAAGCAAGCCTCTACCTGGAGTCTCACCCCTCCATGCTCTCCCCCACACCCAGGACAGCTTCCTTTCCTGACACCTCTAATTGCATGAGAGACATGGCCTAGGGGGGAGGGGTCTCTGGACATTCTCCTAGGATAAGAAGGTCCCCTCTGGACTTCCGGCCAGCGTCTCCCCCAGGCGATGCCCAGTCAGGGGTCCCAAGAACACTGGCGAGTTGGAGGACCACACCAGACTACTGTGTGTGTCAGCACAGTTCTCCAGGAGGGTCCCTTGCCGCATGACCACTGCCTCCAGGCAGGGGGCTGTGGGGGTGCGTGAGCCTGCGAGCCCATGGTCCTATAGGAGGGCCAGGCAGGGACACAGCAGTGGGCTCAAGGCACAACCGGTGCCGGGAGCTGACAGGTGATCTGGGACGCTGCCTGGAACAGGACCTGGCAGGAAGGCAGGACGCTGGCAGGCAAACCTGGGGAAGGGTCCTTCCAGATACAGGCGTGCTGGCCACCTCTGAGAGGACATCCTCAGGCCACCACCTAGAGGGCAGCCAAGGCCGGCCCTAAGAGGGTGGCTGGCCCGGGCTATGGTCGCAAGGGCACAGTTCTGGGAACCAGAGGGTCCAGTCCCTCCTGAAGGGACCCTGATCCAGCCAGGCTGGCCCCGGAACCGCGGTTGCTGAACCATGTGGCGGGCTGGGGCACCCTCTGCTGGCCACACAGGGCACTGCCACAGGCAGGCCCTGAAGGCCCTTGGAGTCCGCATGTGGCTGGACACTGCAGCCAGGACAGCAAAGTGGTCAGGCCCCAACCAGAGGACAGTGCTGGCCACAAGCCAGGGTAGCTGCCCCGGACTATGGCCACAGACACACCCATTGGCAGCCAGTGGCCCCGTTCATGGACGCAAGGACCAGGCCCAGGACCACACAGTGTCCTGCTCACAGTGAAAGGGGGTGCAGCCCGGGGAGCTCCTCTCCCCGCAGGACTAAAGAACGCAAGCGTGTGACCGGGGCCAGACCCCAGCAGCAGGGAAGGGGAGCCTGTGTGATGAGCCTCTGAGGCTTAAGGGAGACGGGTGAGAACTGGGCCCGGAGGAGGTGGGGGTGGGGTGGCAGGGCCCCCCAGGGAGGCAGTCAGGCCACAGGGCCAGGCTTGTGCAGGAGCGGGGGCTGGTGATGAGGAGACTGGGCAGAACGGAGAGGAAAGCTGGTGGAGGGGTGACTCCCCCAAGGGGTCACCACGTGATGCCGTAAACCACAAGACCTGCACGGGGTTCTGAGCTTTTTACGGGCTCCAAATCCACTGAAGTCCCAACTCCAGGGTGGGCACGGGTAGGGTGAACAGAGAAGGGCGGGCCAGACATGCAGCCTGCCAACCTTCAGGGAAGCATCGTGCCTCCCAGCCTAGGATACTGACTCAGACAAACCAATTACAGGAACACACTAGGGCTGCTGTCCAGACCATTTCCTCACCGGGAGAGTGGACATGGCCCTCGCTGCCTATCCTCTGCCTGCACGTGGGAAAGGGCCTCAAGGCCTTGCAGCTGAGATGTGACCCAAGGATCCAGCACTTTCCTGAAGCTGCCATTCCCAGACGTTCCAGGGTCTCAGATCAGGCAGGTGGACTCCATCCCCGCACACCTCAGAGGAGTGCTTCCGCGGCATTGGCTCCTCCCCGGCCCACGAGCCCCGCCCATAACCCCAGCCCTGCCCACACCCCAGTCATGTCCACACCCAGCCCTGCCCACACTTTCAGTCCCGCCCATACACATGTGTAGCCACGCCTACACATCCCCAGCCCCGCCCACACTCTCAGCCCTACTCTCACAGCCCCTCCCAGTACAGTCCCACCCTCGCTCCCAGCCCCGCCCAGTACACACAGCACCGCCCATATTCCCACCGCAACCTACATCCTCCCGCCCCACCCACACACCCAGCCCTACCCATACATACAGCCCCGCCCACAGTTCCAGTCCCACCCACTCAGCCCTGCCCAGTACACGCAACACTGCCCACACTCCCAGCCCCACCATTCGTACAGCCCCACGCACACTCCCTCCCAGTATACACAGCCCCACCTACCTAGTGGTGGTGGCACTAGGTGGTAGGCCACGCCCACAAACAGCCCCGCCCACACCCCCAGTTCCCGGCCCCCCAGTAACACAGCTCCACCCACACCACTAGTCCCGCCCACACTCCCCAACTACCTCGATGGTCTGGGCAATCTGAACCCACTCGGTGATAGTCATGTCACTGGAGTCGAAGAGGGGCTGGCACTCCAGTACCGTGTAGATGACCCTCTGGTCAGGGCTGGCGGGCCTGCGGGAGGCAGAACGAGGGCTCCCACTCTGTCCCCTCCTCCCTTGGCCTGCTCTGTTCCCCTCCACCCAGCCAGCCCCCCTCGCCTGCCCCCCTGCACCGAGGGGCTTCTCAGTAGGTTCTGCATATCCACAATCTCTCAGCAACCTGAATACAGGGCCCAGCCTTCCTTCCACCCAGAGTGCCCAGGAACAGGGACCTTGGTCCTCACGAGGGGTCACGGCTGGGCCGGGACAGGCTGCTCCCCAGCAGTGTCACCTTCCCAGAACCGGCTCTAAGAGGGGGCCCAGGCCTGGTCCTCCATGGGCCAGGAGCGGACCCTGGGAGGACGATCTCTGGCAGGAGGGAAGCCAGACCAGGAGGCCATGAAGGGCACCAGGCAGCCTTGGCCCAGAACTAAGAAACAGAGAGAACTTTGCACTGGGGGGGGAGGCGGGGGCTACCTGGGGCCATCCCCTGCCTCTCCCGATGGGCTTGGGTCCCCGAGTGGCTAGGCCCAAGGCCTGCAGCCCCCCAAGGCTCACTTGAAAGAGGGCCGCTGGTCGGTGCTAAAGCCATGACACTAGTGACCACAGCCTGCCCCACGGACCCTGCAGGAGCCGTCCCGTCTCAGGATAGGCCCACCCCTACGACAGCAGGCCGTCATCCCCGGCTGGGCCCCAAGGCCCCACACTCACGGCAGTACCAGGGTGTCCTCCGAGAGGCCAAGGGCCCGGGCGTGGTCCTCATCATGGAACATGGGCAGCGTCCTCAAGGCAGCGGCCAGGCCCCTCCCAGGGACGAGCACTGCAGGCAGAACCCAGCGCAGGGGGTGTGGGGTCAGGGGCCGGCAGCCACCACGGGCTCCTGTAACCGCCGGCCCCTCCCTCCTCATCAGGGCACTTACCCAACACGCTGGGGGCCAGGCGAGGGCGGGGGCCAGGCCAGGGCAGGGGTCAGGGGTTTGGGGTGGGGACAGAATCCAGGGCCCTGGTGAGATTGGGCAGCCATTCCAGGTCTGGATGAGACGGCTTCCTCCCGGGGGGCCGGGCAGCCCCCCTCTGGCCACTCCACCCAGGGCCTGCCCCGGCCCACCCCGTCTCCAGGAGACCCCGTGCTCCCAGCTGAGGTTCAGGGGCCCAGGCTGTCCCCCGCCTTCCATCACAATGCAGCGCAACGCACCCACGCTTCTCCCCACCACTTGCCGGGTCACCGCACTAACTCCTGCGGGCAGACATGCTGTCTGCTCTGCCTGGAAGTCCTTAGCCCCTCCTCCTTCAAACCCAGTATGTGCTTCGCCCCCGCTCAGGTCACCACCTCCAGGAAGCCCTCCTTGACGTCCAGGCCCCGATGCCCTTCCCACACACTTCCCCAGCGGCCCCTGCTCCCTCACTAGGCTGTGTGACCCCTCCAAAACCCAGAAACATGTCCCATGTGCCAGAAACAGGCATCTGAGGCACTGGGCAGAAATGGCGTCGTGTTTTAGAAAACCCTCAAAGGTCACAGCTGTGTCTGCTAGAAACAACCCCTCGGCAAAGGCTCCCTCTTGTCCCCCCCTGCTCCCTACCAGCACCATGACCTTGGACAGGTCAGCTAACTTCTCCGGGCGTCTCCCACACACTTGGACACAGTGACAAGGACAACAGGGTCCCCTTCCTCGAGAAACGCCTTTAGCTGAAACAAGGAAGGAAGACCTTTCAAGACCGGGCGAGTGGTCACTCCCGGACGACACCCTTGCTCTGGGCCTCCACAGCCCACGGGGCACGTCCAGCCCCCGCTGCCGCTTAGCGGCCTAAAACAGCCTGCTGTTCGGGCCTTGAGAAGCCTCCAGTGCCAGCAGGGCTGTGACCTCACTGGCAGTGCCGGGGGACGGTGTGCCCAGGCCCGCTCGGGGTGTCGGCGGAATTCAGTTCCATGCGTGTACAACTGCTTCTCTGCTGCCTCTCCCACGGGGGTGGTTCTCAGCTTCTAGGGGCTTCCCGCGTTCCCGGGCTCGGGCCCCGTGCTCCGTGTTCACAGCCAGCAACGGCTTTAATTCCCATGCTGTGATCTCTCTGACTTGGCCTCTGAGTCATCTCCTCCCTTTAAGGAGCCGGAAAGCTCACTCGCCTCACCCGCGGACACCGTGCCGCTCAGTCTTTCCTGAGGCCACCGTGAGAGTCTGTCTCCTCACCAGGCCGGCGGCCAGCTTCCCGCCGCTGAACGTGAATCTGCTCTTTTCCTGAGGGCCAGCAGCTCAGCATCAGGCCCTGAATCTCCAGCCCAGCACCCTGGGCCCTCTCCTGTCCCTCGTGCCCACTGATGCCCTCCCTCCCGCCCTGCAGCTCCCCGCAGGGGGGGCCCCCCCCCCCCCCCCCGCACCGTGGCCTTCCGAGGGCCGCTCGGGCTGATCGGCTTCCCACGGCCGCTTAGCCCGTTACCCCAAACAGGCGGAGAGTGGGCGCAGCACCTCCCTGTCGTCACACAGCATCTGTGGGGCACAAGCCCGGCCCACTCCACGCTCAGCAGGACCACACTCCTCGCTCGCTCAGCTTTGCTCAGGCTCCCTCCATGTGCCCACCTTCTACGTGCCAGGCACGCTGGCCCCATGGGTGCTCCTGGATGTTCACGGTGCCATCTCCGCAGCCGGAGAGGGATCCCCAGGGGAGCCCCGGCCCCGCACACGGCCCCAGCAGGGGCTCCACGCACGTTTCATGCAGGAGTAAACAACGCGGGTTAGCTGCTACGGGGCTGCTTGAGGAAATACCACGTCGACGGGGCTCAGGAGACAGAGGGGGACATCAGTGCACGATTGCCCTCCTGGCCACATCCCCAAGATGCCCGAAGCATGACCAGGACACGCGCCTGCCTCCACACAGGTCCAGGCTCACCAGCCCCACCAGCATCGAGGACAGAACCTCAGAACCCGGGCACGGAGGAGGGCTCACAGCCACCCGGCCGCCCAGCCCTGGCGGCCAAGCTCCCCGACCCCACCCTCGGCAGGCTGACAGGCAGCCCCCAAAGGTGCACATGCCCTCCCCGCGAGAAAGGCAGTCTTTGCAGGTGCGATGGAGTTAAGGGTCCGGAGACGGGGGCACCACACTGGATTGTGCAGGTGGGCCCTAAGTGTGGGAGACTGGACACACGGAGGAGGCAGCCACGTGAGGACAGGGCAGAGAGCCGCGTGAAGGCGCCGGCCGTGAAGACCACGGCGATTCAGTCACAGCCAAGGAAGTGGCAAGGACGGACCCTCGCTGCCCCATGTCAGACGCCTGCCTGTAGCACAAGGGGGCCACCTGCTTGGTCACGTGTGGGAGCAGCCCCAGGACGCTCACAGAGCCACTTTCCACCCCGGCTCCTCGTGGGGGGTGGTGCCAACCTGGGGATCCACGGACGGGGCAGGGGAGGTGGGGATGCACGTGGTCTGGGTTTCACGGGGCGAGCTCATGATGTGGGTGGTCGCCTCCACCCACAGCCAGGCTGTTGCCGGCCGACGGTGAGGCAGTGACCGCCGGGGGCATCCTGCTGCAGCGGGGTGGGAAGCGGCAGGGCCAGAGGACCCCGAAGGGTGGGAGCCCGCTGTTCCCGCCCGGGACTTATGTGCGCGGCACAGGCAACGCTGGCCCAAGAAGAGGCGATGCCCTCCTGGTCTGTTCTCTCTGGGCAAAACCCGCCACGGCACTGTGACACCAAAAGAGCGTGGGAAACCGTGCAGCCAGGGAATGGGGGGGAAAGAGCTGAGGGAAAGTCAGGACGTTAATGAACAAAAATCGTGCCTTGGGGTTCTGTGACATCCTTGGCTTTTTCAAACCGGTCATTTGTTATGATTTCCTTACTCGTTCCGCATAAACGTCTGCTCTCACACTGAACTCTAATTTTGTAAATTGTATTACTTTTCTCCACAAGGGCCCCCGCCCCCCCCTCCACCAGGCCCCTATAAAACCAGAAGCAGACCATGCTTCTCAGCTACGGCCAAACCCCTCGTGTCTAAGGGACGGTTTGTCCTCTAGGACTGCGGGTCCCTGGGGAACCACCTACAGCTTCGGCTAGAAAAACGTGAGCGTGTGAAGCTACGCTCAGGGAGGAGGTCCAGGTCGAGTGCTCAGACACCATGTTGCGGTGACCAAGAGACGGTGGACACCACCCTTACGGGCGACGCTTGGCTGCAGGACCAACTGTGACCCCCACCCCAGGCTGTCCTGGCATGTTCAGATACCTGCCCCCAAAGTTCTGCTCCCCATGCTGTGTCTGCAAGTGCCTGCAAGGTACGCTGGGGCAGGGCGGCACTCAGAGGTCACAGGGGCCTCTGGCTCCCTGAGCCGGATGGGAGGGGCCTCTGGCTTCCTCAGCTGGGTGGGAGGGGCCGCTGATGCTGCTCAGCCTTGGGACCGAGGCCATCATCTGACTCTGCTTTCATGATGCCCCTTGACCTGTGACATCTCTGCTGGACTCAGAGAAGGGCTGGGTCCAGGGGTGTCCCAGGCTGCAGCGGCCTCTGCCCTCCGCTCGCCGTCCCGGCCTCTGGCAGGGTTCAGACAAGCGGAGCCGTGTGCCCTGCAGGCCACTGTTCACACCCTCCACAGTGACAATCCAAACAGCCTAGCTGTTGCTGGCCTGCTCCCCTCACCACCCTCTGCCACGGTCCCGAGGCTGGAGCCCCGTCAGCAGTGCCAGGCGAGTTAATCATTGATACTGTCCCGAGTTCAACGACCCCTGCTGGGCTCGGAGAGGGCAGGGGCTGCCCAAGGCCCTCCTAGTGTGGCCTCCAGCCTCCAGGCCTGGCTCCTGCGTCCATCCCCATCGTGCCCGTGCCCTGGCCTGGGGGCTGTCCTCGTCCCCGGACACCTTTTCAATCTACGCACACTTTTAGGCAAAAAAGTCAGCACAAGATGTGTGTCCCTGAACACTGAAAGCAGGCCTGAGGGCCATCCCTGGCCTCAGGGGGCCAAGGGGTATATGACACGAGAGGCACAGCAGGGACCAGACCCCATGTCTCTTCCTCTTTCGTCCTCTGGGGTTTAAGCCACCCCCCCCCCCCCCAAGCCTTCCTGAAGTCGGAGGACTGGGGAAGGAGCAGCCCTCAGCAAGGAGCTGGGAGGCACCACCAAGGCCCCCAGCGGACTAGTCGCCCCAGGCCGGCAGCTGCCTGCTCCCCAGCCGTCGCCTGCCCCGCAGCTCAGGAGACCAGCTTCCTTGCCCCCCAGGACAGGCTGGTGCTTCTGAGGTGCCTTCCGAGCGCAAGAAGGCGTCCGCTGACCGCGCCTTCACCAGGCCAGGAGGCCCCAGCGCCAGAGCAGGCTCCAAGGGATTCTGGAAGATTCTTCCCCATCTGTAGCCGACCCCCACACCCTCTTTCCTGAGTCAAGGTCTCTAGTTCACCTTCTGAACATGTGACTTCGCAGCCTCTCCGGGAGAAGCAGCACCCGTGGGAGTGAGCCACAGGGCTGCCTCGGAGGACGGGCAAAGAGGTCAGAGAAAGGTGGGAAAGAGGTCAGAGTCCACCAGTCCGTGCAGCCCAGACCCTCAGGAACCACGTGTGAGCTCAAGAGAATCGCAGACGGCCACATGCCAAGCCTGGAGGGGCAGCGTCCGGGATGCGCCAGGGTCCCAGACGGTCCGCCCAGAGCAGCTCCCCTCTCTCGGCCCAGCCTCCACCTCCCGGCCCCTCCTGCTCTCTCCCACCTGGGTCCAGGCCCCAGGCCCTCAAGGGAGGCCACAGCCACACGCAGGGTCCCAGCCGTACAGGTGCGCACGGCCCTACATCCTCTCCCCAGACCGCCTCTGTGACTTGAATCACATGCCGCTGCTGGTTTAATGTCAGCCCCTCTCGGGCTTGTGACGGCCGAGGGAACCAGACAGAGCAGCACCCAGCCGGCCAGTGTCACCGGGGGCCTCCAGCCTTCAGAAGTCCACCCACGAACTAACCAGGCAGAGAGGCGGAAGGCACAGCAGCAGAGGGCTGGCTCCTGGCAGCCCAGGGAGGGGCAATTGGCGGGCTGGGTGGACGGCCACGTCCCTGGGGCCTGAGCCCCTACAGGACAGGGCTCTACACAGGCCTGAGTCCTAGAGCCCGGCATGGAGTGGGCCCCAAGGAATGTGTGAACTGTCTGTGTCCCACATGGAATAACAGGGACAGAGGCTGGAAAGCACAAAGACCCCCCCAGTGGGAAGGGGGGGACCGGGGGGGGGGGGAGGACACTGCAGGGCCAGGTGAGGGGCTGACCCAGGTGTGAGCACAGACGAGGACTGGAGCAGCAGGGAGGGGCCACTGGCAGGGAGCCTGGGAGGAAGGGGTCAAGATAGTGCCAGCCCACGGGAAGCGGGACCCCTTAGGGACAGTTAACCCGCAGACAGCAGGAGAGTGGCAGAGAGGTTCAAAGATGAGGCTGAGGGTGTGTCCCGGGCCCCCTGGGCTCTGCTGGGCATCCCACACGTCACGGGACCAGGAGGAGCCTTTGGGGAAGGTACAGGCAGATGGTCTGTCCGGGGTCACCCGCGAGCTCCAGCGCCCTGGCCCAGGCCCTCACGCCCCACCCCCAGCAGCAGCCCCTGTCAAAGGGGCAAAGACAAAACGCTCAACTCCCCAAAGCCATCTCCTGCACCTGAACAGTCCAGAAAGGTGTGATGGGAGGGTTGCCAGGAGCCCTCAAGCTTGAACAACGTTGGGGGAAGAGGTGGGGTCAGGTCACGGCCCCTCACGATCCCTGGGGAGGGCCTGGGCTGCCCTAGCCGTGACACCACACGGTCTTGTTTGTCCGGAAAGGGGTGAGATAGAAGCCGTGGGCCCTCGGAGACCCCCGTGGCTCTGTGCAGAGGGGTGGGAGAGGCCCCGGAGGGCTCCGACCTGGGAAAGGCCACTGGGCACGGGAACGACCCCATTCCACTCACCGCCGCGCTCGAGCCGCATGCCGATAGTGCCGCCGGTGTAGATGGCCAGGAGCCTCCGCTCAGGCTCCACCGCGCGCGACATGCCTACCGGGGACCAAAGAACCAAGGGGACTGAGGGCACCAAGGGACGGCGGCAGGCGCACCCAGGGTAGCGGGGGAGGGCTGTGCCTGTGGTGGGGAGACGCGGCGAGCTAGGTGTGCGGGTGGGAGGTGGCGGGTCCTGTCCGGGGGCGGGTCCCGTCGGGGGGGGGGGGGGGGCGGGGCCTGAGACGCCCTGGGCTGTCGGATATCGGATATCGACCAGTGCAGTGGCCCTGGGTGTTGGAGTGGCTGTGACCTGTGACACACAAGCCACGTGCCTTACGGTTGGCCTAGGGGACCCCCCAGCGCGAAGTGGGGGGCGGGGGGGGCACCCTCCCCTCCCAGGTGGCTCCCACAGACCCCGGTGCTCCAGCAAAGCCAAAGCCCTGCAGGCCACACCCTCGGTGTCACTCCTTGCGGGTGGGGGTGGGGGCTGGCAGAGATGCGGCCCGCCCACACACTTCCCGGAGAAGGGCGGGAGGGGCCCTCTCCAGGGCTAGAACCCACCCCCCTCACCCCCTCCGCAGCTCTGGAGGGCAGGGAGGGCAGGGGGCAGCAGGCTTATCTCCATTGGGTTTAGCGAGGCTGTACCCTGACCGCTGGCGACCACCCCCCCACCCCACCCCCTGGCTCCCCTGGGGGAAAACTGCATTGTCTCCACAACGAGCCCCTCCAGTATTTGATTTCTCTCCAGGGAAGCTACTATGATAACTTCCAACAATGCCAAAGTAATTCCTGTCTAAGCACCAGGCAAGTTTATTCTGTTGTCTGCTGGGGCTGGAGGCTTAAACAATAGAAACTCCTCACCGTCCTGGAGGCTGAGGTCTGGGATCAAGGCATTCCTCCAGGTTTCCTGAGGCCTCTGCTCCAATCGAGGGTGTCCCTCTGCCTCTGTGTGTATCCACACCTCTTCCTAGGAGGACAGGACGTCCTGGATTAGGACCCGCCTAATGGCCTCAAGTCAATCTCCTCTTTAGAGATTGTCTCCAAATACAGTCACGTTCTGAGGGGCTGGGGGTCAGGCTTTATTTACCATGTGAACTTGGGATGGACACGGTCCTAGCCCTCTCCTCCCCCCCCCCCCAAAAAAAAAACCTGGTTGTGCCTCCATTTCCATGTTCCTGTTCGAGTTCTGTGTGTCTGTTCTTGGGCTCCTCCTCTGAGCGGGTCTGGACACCTGCCAGGCCCCTGGTGCTGGGTTAAGTGAGCTCCTGTGTCTGCAGGGGCCACGTTCACTCACCCTTTTGGGAAGCCACCCCCTGACCGCCCACCACTAGCACCCGAGGAACGGAGTTTGGGGTCCAGGCAGACCTTCTCCTCCAGGGCGTGGGGTCACACCAGGGCTCCACCTTCAAACTGTGCAGGGGCCAGGGGGTGCCGGTCCCCAGGCCGCCCAGCCACTCTGTCACGTTTTCCTGTTCTGTTCTGACTGCATTTCTGCTATAGCTCCCGATGTCCACACAGTCGTCTTGTTAACCATTTGTCACCTGTATGTAAGGGCCTGCTCTGCTTCTCCAGGCACTGGGGACTTGGCCCCGCTTTGGACTTAAACCCAAATGTAACCATCGGCACCTGTTCCCCCGGCCCCCAGGCGGCGCTGGTTTGTCGTAAACTGCTGCGTGGAGAGAGTCCGACAAGAGGCGTCAGGAGCCAGCGGCTGCGGAGGTGAGAGGTGGTCGTAGTGGGAACATGTCTTGAAGCTTGGGTGTGAGGCCGAGACCAGAGTAAGGGACCCCCCAAGTTTTGGCCAGAGCTTCACTCTACTTAGGGATGCCGTTTTTGACCACATAGGGAAACCCTGGGGTGGGGATCGGTTTGGGGCCAGGAGGTAGCGAGGTGTGCTGGGGGCGTTAGGTTTGACATAGCACCAGACAGCCCAGGAGAACTGAAAGCTGTACCTTCTGGAGTCATCGACGCAGGGATGACATGTAAAGCCATGATGAGGTTGCCTAGGAGCGGAAGCAGGGACCCTGAGGCCCAACCTGAGCCTGGCTCTCCAGCGGCAGAGGCCCGGGGAAGGGGAGAAGCTGGAGAGCCGGGAGGGAAGGTGGGGGGTCTGTACACCAAGCCCCAGGGCTTGACTGCAGGGTGGGGGGTCAGGGGCTGACTGTGCCCTGAGCAAGACGGAGGCTCTGGGCAACTGGACCTCATCGTGGGGCAGAGGGGACAAAGCCCCACCAGAGGGCCACTTCGAAAGCCCACTGAGCTCCCTGCTGCTTGAGGAACTGCTTCTCCTGCAGGGACTGGGCTCCCAGGCTCTGTGTTTAGGACGATGGTGACTGTGGGCCTCTCCCTGGGTGAGGGGAAGCTGTTCCAGGATCCCCCGAGCCTCCTCCACGGGGAAGGTCAAGACTGGGAGCTGAGTCTGGGGGACCCGCACAGGCCCCCCACCCGCCTGTACCTGTTTTATTTCTCAAACGGTTCAAAGGAGCAGTTTCTCAGGTGCCAGGGGTCCCGTCTACACCCTCACTGGTGCCACCCTGTCCATGTCGGGTCAGAGACCCTCCCAGAGCAGGACCCAAGGCTCCCCGGGGGTCCCTGGCCCCCACTCAGGCTCACCTTCTAGAGTTCAGTTCTCAAAGCGCAGCCCCGGTCTAGCCGTCTCACCTGGAGCCCGGGGGACACCCAAACCCCTGGGCCCTTCCCCAGACCCCCGACTCAGGAACTCGGGGGGCTTCTGGGGTCCATGCTCTACACACCCTCCGGGGAATTGTGACGCAAGTCCAAGCTGCAGAACCCTCGGTCCAGGCCAGGGGCCAACAACCTGTGACTCTGCCTGTTCCTGGAAATAAAGTTTGACGGCAACAGAAACACCCCCTCATGTTCGTCCTGTGTGTGGGAGAGGCCAGGGGAGGACCGTGAGCAGGACCCCAGTGAGTGACCACACTTGGGTAACAGGCCCGCGGGGGTTCAAGGGAACCCGGCACTCTCAGTCCGCATCACGAAGCCACTCCCAGGCGCAGGCTTCCGCTTGCCAGGCATCACCTCCGCCTTGACGCTGGTGCCCCAGCAGTCCCAGCAGCTCCAGAGAAGCTCCACGAACAGCAGCCACGCGTCCAGAGGGCACACCGGGTGCCACCACGTAGGCCCTGCTGAGGGGAGCTGGCGTGGGCAGGACACCCTGGAGTCCTCCAGGAGACACAGGCCCACGCTCCCCGAGGCTCCCAGAGCCAAGTGCTGCGGATGCCGGAGGCACGGCCCCTCCAGCCCCTCCGTGCACCATGGGCCCTGAACAGACCCGCGTGGTGCTGACTGCGGGCCCGGCCCTGTCGCAAGCACCTTGCAAACCCTGCTTTATTCCTCATTCCCTGCACCGAGGCACATTCCCTTCCTGCTAGCCCAGTGAGGGAACTGAGCCCCGGCCTGGGCTGCACGGCCGTGGGCTGCACACGGGGCCCGTGGACGCCGTGTGGAAGCAGGCTGGCCCGGGCCAGGCCCAGGGGCCGCTCTGAGTAGCTGGGGTGGAAAGTGAGGCCGGTGGTCTGACAGGAAGCCTGCGGGCAGAGCAGGGAACAGAAAAGTGCAGGGACCCGGGGCGAGTCCTGGAGGCAGAAGTCTAATCCGAGCCCCTAACTCGGTGACACAAGAGACCCAGCACGCCCCCCACAGCCCCTGAAGACGCAGTGTACCCGCTCCTCCCTATGACCCGCGGTCACTGGTGGGAGTGGACGCTGGGTGGAGGGCAGGTGGGGAGATGCCCCCAGACCCATCAACTGGGGGAGGGGCCTCCGCCCCTGTGCCCACCGTGCGGTGACCTCAGGACGCTGTCCGGCGCCGCAGGGCGGCGGCGAGGAGGGGAGACACAGGAGTCCAGTGCAAGTTCTGCCTCAGGCCGCCCGGCTGCACCCCTCTGAACTTAAACACAGGGTGGCATCGAGCCACCCGCAGGCCTCCGGGAGGCGGGTGGGACGGGCCCACCGGGCACTGCAGGATCGAGAGGCGGCCTCAGCACCCTGTACGTCTTCAGTTTCTTCGTCCTTGGTGAAGAAGGCCCCCTCAACTAACCCAATGTGTCTGGGGTTACTCTACTTTTCGGGCATACGTATTCTGCCCCTCCAGACAGGTTCAGCCGCACAAACGGGGCCCAGACCGAGCCCAGAGAGTCAGCGCGTTCTGCCTGTTCTCGCCAGCTGTGTGCCACCTGTGGTCTGCACGCTCCGGGTCGAGGCTGGTACCCGGCTGCCTTGGTCACGCAAGGCGGTGTGGCGGGCCCTCAAACAGGCCACTGGAACAGGACAGAGTCCAGACGCAAAGCTTCACGCGCTGGTAGGTGGAGGCGCGACACCTGTCCACCCGGCGACCATGCGAGGGAGCTGTGTGCAGGGTGTCTGTTAGGAGGAGCTCTTGGGAGGGAGGCGGGTGGGCCTGTAGTCCACTCCCAGATCTCAGCCAGCCCCAGGGCCTCTGGGATGACCTTCAGAGCTGTCGGAGTCAGAGCCAAGGTGCCTTCGAGCCCCGCGTGGGTCGGTCACCGGACCCACACTTTGTCGGGAGCACAGTGTGATCGTGGGTGGGCAGTGCTTTGTCCTGCAGCAAATATCCCCAAAGAGGACCTGCCCACTGAGGGCCGTCGTCCAGCAGCTAGAGGGGGGCCCAGCAGTGTCACAGAGCCCCGCACCTGCCAGTGGGACAGGGAAGTCTTCAACGATCGAACCAAACGTTCACGTTGGAACAAATAACCGCGGCCCTTATCTCTCCACACACACAAGCCAATCTGATACGGGCCATAAGCCAAACACAAATGCTGAGAGTATAAAATTCACAGAAGAAAACACTGAAGGATTTCTTTGTGACCTGGGGTCAGGCAAAGACTTCTCAGTTAGGAAACTCAAGGCATGAACCATAAAACTTTTAAACTGACGAGATAAACTTCATCAGAACCCAAGCGGCTAGTCATCTAAAGACATTGATAAACAATGAATAGACCACATACAAAAACTCAAGATAGATTAAGACCTCAGCATAAGACCTGAAATGACAAAACCAGAAGCAAACTCGGGGAGAAGGTTCTTGACACTGGACTCAGCAGTGATTTCCTGGAGATGATGCCAAAGCGTAGGGAGCAAAAGAGAAGCCGGGTGACATCAAACTTAAAAACTTTTGTGCAAGGGGCAC